GCGCCCATGAAGATTTGTTATACTTACATGTATAACCAAGGACATTCCAGAGAACGTTTCAGCGAAATCACCAATAGTTATAGTGTCTTCTTTATAGAATAATAGACTGATTATTAAATATATGGTGATCCAGTTACCAATCGCTAATGCTACAAAAATAGATAGCTGCCATTTGTTGTGTCTCATATCTGGATGGGCCCCTACTATCCAAGCCATTGTCAAACATTTTTCTATAGTGTAGTGAGACATAATAGACCTGAAAATAATACCGTTCTGAATATTCTCGGAACGTTTGAAATCTTTTCATTGTGAATTGTCAATTTTTGGACAGTTTGCTGCAAACATTGTCAACTAGGAAAATATATTATCATACTGCCTACAAACATCTACTTCATAAAATTTTCTCAGAACATTATCGTATTTGATGAATTTTGGTATGCTCATTTCAAAAATTACATTAGTGTTTGTCATCAAGTATAGTTTGAGTTTTTCAAATTATTTGCATTTAGAGTACATATATTGTATTAGTGAATTACCCGATTTTCTCACATTTAAAACAATGAACCATCGACACAGTGCTTGTTTTATTTGTGACGGATATCACATTACAACATATCGAAAATCGATCACAGTCTTCGTTAAATCTGCGTAAGGAGCTAGAGGAGCTTAATGATGTATGTCAAAATTGTGTTATCTGTTTGCGACGATGGCCCAGTGGAAAAGATATATATTTGGATTCAAATTAGAAAACATATGGTTAACTAATTGTCAATAGTATTCTGATTTATGATTCGCAAGTAAACTTTGGATCAGCGAAGCGACATATTTATAAGTTCGCCTTTCAAGCTTGTTCGTAGATTCGACAAGATTTCTTTTAGCAGCTATTTCATTTGTGGTCTAATGAAAACGTCCGCTTTCGGTTTTCTTCTAAGGTTTCCGTGTTCTCAAAGTCATGACATGATGATGTCGATGAAACTGTCACTGATCAGAGTGTGTATGCCGCTGAGCAGAAGACAATGTCGAATATGACTACTTATCGCAATTTTTAACGGCACAAGAATTTCAATCATCATGATCAGGTTCGAAATTCCCGCCAAATTGTCGGTGTCTTGAATTTAATTCCACTCGACTATTACCGCAAATCTGCCATAAACTATTTGGCACCCATGGCTTCTGTAGATTGCAATTATTTACTTCAAATTAGTTAAAGTGTGCAGATTTACGGAAGTCCGAGATTGATTAACAATACTTTGTGAATATATATTCCCCACAAATAACTCAAAATCAGTCTTGCCCGTTTAAACAACGTCTGGTCTGTATAGACAACTGATTAATGTACTACTTGAAACATCCATCGTCATGACAAATTTGGGTAGTGTAAGAAATCTCACAAACCAGAGTTGCTTCACTAACACTGATGAGATTTTATGAAATGAGATCACCACAATGCCTCAAAAGTCAAATTCTGAGACAATTTTATGTAGATGTTTGTTGGGCAGTACTATTCTTTCTCTAATGCAGAATACAAGATATGGCACAGCTAAACTCTATCGATTTTTGAAAAAATTAATGAAAAACTTAATGGCTTTTTTCAATCGATTTGCGGGGAATGATCTTACCTTGGAGATGGTTTCTGTATACTGGTAAAAAAGACTGATGATTCAATATATAAGTTTATAATGGCACCAAGAGCTTAAGTGTCCCTTGTAATTATCTGTAGCATTGTTGGGTGTTGTGTGATACAAATGAACAAAGTAAAATGTGGCAATTAGATGCATTTTAAATGAAGTAGACTGAATAAAGAGTAGGTGTAGTGTCTTTGTTAAGGTCATCTTTGTTATAGAATGTTTGGTTATTGATATGGGTTGTAGGAAAATTCACCGGAAGAACGTTTTTATCCACAGGGCGTTCTTTATTCTGCATTCAAAATAAAATGGAGCTTTCCTTATGGTATACTGTACCCAATCTATCCGTCTTCAATTATTTATTTATTAATGCGCAAAGCTTCTCTGCCGGTATTATACGAATTTCTCTTAACAGATAGCTACCAGTTAGGTCCTCATATTATGATGTTCGTAGGATATTAGGTACTCAAAAATTATATTTTTGGGAAGCCTAATCCTTTAGCTAGCTTGTTTGATATCTATGGAATGCGCTGATTTTTGCGGATGCTGTTCCTATCGACATAAACTGCAATTGGACTAATTGGAATAATTAGTCGGAATATTTTCAATAGGCAGGGTAAAAGCCGCGACTGAAACCCGCTGAACTATTTTCTGTAAGAAACCGTTAAGCATAAATGCTACGTTAAGACCGTAGATACATGACATGAAATCAATGTTACCATTCAAGAGATTTAAGCGCGAACAATAGATAAAGTTTCGACAAATAGACTGACCCTGCACTTCCCTCACAACGCCGTCATCCGTTTACAAAGGTATATACTCAGCACATGTTAGACCCCCTGAGAAAAAAATAGGCAGTCAGTCAAACAGGCTCATAAAATTAGTCCAAATACATCCTTTCCCTTCACTACCAGTAGTACCGTCTGTCTGTCAACGTCGCCGTTCCCGCATACCATCCCGTACGACGCGGCAGCGCGGCACAACACTCCTCTATCATTCTAAGTTTGCTACGACTCTATCTTTGGCAAATTATAGTTACATGGATTTCACGAGATAGAAGGTTCTCGACTACTTACTCTGTTATTAGTTCATAAGGACAAATATACGGAGAAATCTGTGAGTTGTGAAATAGGTGCGTAGAATTACCGGGGTTAAAAAAATGAGATATACCCTTCCCTATCTGCTATGACTTTCAACAAACAAGTTTATGGAATACCAAAAAACGAAGTAAGTGATTATTTTTCTCGTGTTTTTTACCTTTAGCTCCGTCGCTACTGGACGTATTTTCAAAAACTAATAAGCTTGGCATCGTAGTATTTTTGTTTAAAGATTTAATCAAAATCCGAGCCGTACTTAAGAAGTTATAGATGAGCTTAGGCATGCACTCAAAAATTGCCTCTTGAGGTATTTCGTTCCAGAAGCATCGTTTTGGAAATAAAAATTGTTTTACTAGGAAAAGCTCACAAATTAGAAGTTGAATTCGAACTTTCTCAATAAATATATTTACGAAAAAATTCGAGAGACGCTTTTCAGCAAGAATTGATATTGCTTTGAGAAAATGAGACTTATTTTTGCATAAACCAGTGACGTTAAATTTTTTGCTGTCCTGGCAACGTGGAATATTCTGATTCATTGTATACTATTACGTGCTGAATGTATCCTTGGATTGCAATATTGTTTAGTAAATTGTTTCAATTTTAATAGGTGCAGTATAATTTATAAATATATTTATTTTCAATTAATTGTTGTATGCACTTTTCATCAACATACATACACGTAAAACTATATGAATTTTCGTTTTTTCCCTTCTACAATATTTTCTATTTTTTCTAACCGTTGAAAACTTCCAATAATAAAAGTAAATGAAACGTTTTATACCACACTACTACTATAGGTGATATTTATCGGGTAGCTTGTGTGTAGCTTTTTAACACATGCTTCTTGGATATTCCTGAGGCTTTGCCCAAGATATTTAGGTAATTTCTAAAATCAAATATTGTATTTTTTGGATGTTATATGACATGTACATCGCGAAAGACTATGTTACTCATTCCCGTCGGTCTGCCAGTGTGTCTGTCTATCTGTCTGTCGGTTTGTCTCTCGGTCTATCCATCTGTCTGTCTGTGTGTCGGTCCGCCTGCTGGTCTGTATGTCGACCTCTATGTTTGTCTGTCTGTCAGTCTGTCTGCGAAGATAAAAGCCGAAAATGTAGGGGTTGAAATGATCTTAGTGTATCTATACACACTCAACCCCAATAAGTCCATGCACCTATTCGACATATTTCAGAGATTTCCCCGTACATTTGCCTTTAGAACAGAATGATAAAGAAATGCTTTCGACCTGCGTAATCCTGATAAGCTCTGTCTATCAAGTCTGTGGACTAATTGTATGGGTATATTTAACTGAATCCGTTTAATTTCTCTGTTCAACATGTTTTTTCCTCAGAACTATGAACTGATGATGACGTTGCGTAGGAAGTGCAGAGTCAGCTTACTTGACGCCATTTTTTATAACCGATTCAAAATTTTAATGGCTCACCTTTTACTAAATATTATTCCACATGTACCTATATGAAATACCAACACAAACAAAAATGCCTTACTTCCCCTATTATACATAACCGGTTATGTTCTATAAATGTATGGTAAAACGGGAAGGGTTATCTATGTCGGAATAGCGTAACGATTATAATCCGGGCTAGAATAAACGTTGATTGTCGCCAATTATTCCAGGACTCCAGCCAGACACAGTTACCGTTGAAACGGCTGCACCAGTGCGCCATTTCCATTACCATAAATTTTCATGGACTCTGCTCCAACAGAAATTTATGCATCGAAACGTCGATGCTGACAAATAATTTCCGATATTACGAGGAACCATTCCTTGATTTCCTAGTTTATTTTTAAGGCAGCAGTTTTTGTTCAAATTTGATTTGAAATAAGACTCCATTATACAGGGTGTTACTTAATTATAAACAGTAATTACAAGGATGCATTCCTGAGTACCAGGCACAAGATATGGAATTTGACCACGGGCCAATTTAGAAGAAAATTCGTATAGTGATCGCTCAAATTGTGCTGATCAAATGTTATAATCGGCGAAAAGTTCAAAAATGCTAGAAGGTATAAAAGTTTGGTGCCTTAGTCCCTGTGGATACGCCTTCCTGCACTATTTTACGAAAACTGACTCGTCTTTAATGTACAGAGAGGCCAACTAAGAATGCGAGGCTTGCGACAAGAAAAAACCTGGAAAATAGTTCCGAGGTTTTGAAATGACCGCTAGGGGGCGTAACTGCAATCTTGAATCTAAAAAAGTGATGTGTAGTATATTAAGTACGCCCCTGGTTCCCCGAAAATTGCGCATGTACGATGAGTACTCTCACCGGGATACGTTTAACACACAGTATGTCGGGGTTCCGGATTTGTAACAGTTATCGGTGATATATAATAAACCATTAGTATACTTCCGGGTATTACTGATACCAACTAAGACATTACATGGCGACGAGGGTTATTAAAGAACTCGCCGGGTGAGGTTAAGTGTGTGTAAACTCCTCGTTTGTGTTGAAACCTCCAGTTGTTGGTGAACCAATCTGTGCACAAGAAAGATGGCAGTTGCAGCAGCGGGTCCCGTGCTCACATTCAATCCCAAGGAGAACGAGCGAGAAGTTTTCTTCAAAAGGTTAGAGCAGTATTTTATAGTACACGGGGTCACTGAAGAAGCTGACAAGAGAGCTCATTTGCTGTATAGTTTGTCTGAGGAGGCGTATATTTTATTAGAAAATTTATGTATGCCGCAAAAGCCGGAAGAAACCCCATACCAAGACATAGTTCAGTTATTGTCTAACTACTATGGTAAAACTGCTGTTGTATGGGTCGAAAGGCAGAAGTTTTATAGTGCATCCAAATCAGGAAATGAGACGGCACTAGAATGGAGTGTACGACTTAAAGGTTTAGCTCGCTATTGCAATTTTGGTCAGCAGCTTGAGTCCAAGCTAACGGACATTTTTGTTACGCAGTTCAATCCTGGGAAGGTGAGAACTGAATTATTCACCCTAAACGAGAACACCACCTTAAATAACGCTGTTGAAAAGGCCAAAATTATCGAAGCAACGCTAGTAATAAGAGACCCAGTTGGTGAAGTTAAAAGCGAGGTCTTAGAATCCAATGTTTTTCGAATTACACAAAATAATTCAAATGTTGGTGCCACTGCCGATCAACATCAAGATCCTCAATGGTATCATAGAGGGACAGCAGTACCTGCAGCGCAGCGGAGCCAAGGAGGCACGCGCAGGAGTGGGGGCAACAGCTCAAACATGGCGCTGCCGCAGCTACAGCCGTTCACATCGTCTGGTCGCTCTCCGGGCTGTTTCCACTGCGGGAGGAACCACAACAGTAATGTATGCCCCTATAAGGAATATATTTGTAACTCTTGTCACGGTAGGGGTCATCTCAGTGTGGTGTGTAAAAAGAAAAAACAAATCCTCACCTAAGCACGTTAATTATTTTTTCCTAATAATGATATTGCTGAGGATTATACAGACGTTTTTTCATCCCCAGTTCTAAGTATTTCTAGCTTAGGAAGCAACAATGATGTGCCACTATATATCGATATTTTAGTTGAGAATGTCATGTTGAAATTTGAACTTGACAGTGGATCAGCTGTTAGTGTTTTGCCACTTCATGTTTACAAAACATATTTTGGTGCTCACGTCATGAAAAAACAAATGTTTCCTTGATTAATTTTTCTGGCAATAAGATCATCCCACATGGCACAATCAACTTAAATGTTAAATTTAATTTCAAAGATAGCATCCTACGCTTTTTTGTTGTTGATGGTAACAATCCATTGCTCCTAGGTCGAGATTTTATTAGGAATTATAATATGGGATTTAGAGAAATTCATTATTTGAACAACGATGCTGTTGATGCTCTATGTAATGAGTTTCCTGGCGTTTTTGCAACCAATTTGGGAAGGTTCAACAAGTGTAAGATCTCCATAAATATTAAACTGGATGCAAATCCCATTTTCCATAAACCTAGACCGTTACCATTTGCAATTAAAGGTAAAGTGGAGGAGGAATTAGATAAATTAGTCTCTAATGGTATAATATCTCCAGTGGAGTTTTCAGAATGGGGTACCCCAATAGTACCAATTTTGAAGGAAGATGGAGGAATAAGAATTTGTTGTGATTATAAGGTAACTATTAATTCAGCTATTCTAGTGGACAAATTTCCCTTGCCTAGAATTGACGACTTATTCACAAAACTGAAAATGGAAAGCAATTTTCCAAAATTGATCTCTCATCGGCTTACAATCAAATAGAGCTCGAGGACTCTTCAAAAAAATTTACGACTATTTCGACTCACAAAGGTTTATTCGAATTCAATAGATTGCCGTTTGGAATAAACTGCGCTCCAGCACAATTTCAAAGAATTATGGAGCAGCTGTTCAATAAAATGCCCCGTGTATGTGTTTTTCTTGATGATATTTAGTTACAGGTATCGATAAAGAAGATCATATTAGAAATTTGAAAAGGGTTTTACTTTGTCTTTCCGAATGTGGTCTCACTGTTAGAAAAGAAAAGTGTGTGTTTTTGGCTGATTCCATTTCATATTTAGGGTTTGTTATAGACGAGACAGGCCTACATAAAAGTTTAGAAAGAGTTAAGGCAATACGCGACATTTCTCCACCAGAAAATGTCACTCAACTTAAGTCTTTTTTAGGCAGTATCACTTATTATAATCGTTTCATCAGAAATCTCCCAGATTTACTTCACCCTTTATATAATCTTTTGAAAAAAGATGTAAGTTGGTCATGGGATAAAACATGTCAGGATTCATTTGAGTATATTAAACTTGCATTATGTTCTGACGATGTGTTGGTGCATTATAATCCTGACCTACCAGTTACTTTGACTATTGATAGCTCGGACTATGGAGTGGGAGCAATTTTATCTCATGTTTTGAAAATGATGTCGAAAAGCCAATTTGTTATGCGTCAAGAACTCTCTCGAAAAACGAATTGGCATACTCTATTTTGGATAAAGAAGCTACCGCGATTGTTTGGAGTATTAAACGATTTTACCAATATTTGTGGGGTAGAAAATTTACCTTGGTCACAGATAATAAGGCACTCATGTCAATTTTTGGACCTAAAACGGGTGTTCCAGTGATGGCAGCAAATAGACTGCAGAGATATGCACATTTTCTGAGTGGCTTCAATTTTGATATCAAGCATGTGTCATCCATTCAAAATGTAGCTGACTTCTTAAGCAGAATGCCGATTGAAGATGACATGTCTGTGCAACTGATCGACTTCCCCATTCATTTAAATTATCTCACTAATTCCGATTCTAGTATACCAGTCGATGTTAACAAGGTCAGAGAACTTACATCCTCAGATTCAGTACTTCTGAGGTACTCAATTTTGTTAAAAAGGGGTGACCTGCAAGTCATAAAAGTAATGAATTGAAACCCTTATTTCAGTAGGAAAAATGAAATCAATGTTGAAGACGATGTCCTTGCTTTGGGGACATCGAGTTATCATACCATTTCAGTTACGAGAGGTGATATTGAAGGAGTTGCATGCTACCCATTTGGGAATTGTTAAAATGAAGTATCTTGCGAGATCTTACTTTTGGTGGCCGTCCTTGAATGATGATATTGAAAGTGTTAGTAAGCAGTGCAACATATGTCAACGCTTGCAATCATCGCCGGCCAAGGCACCGTTACAATGTTGGCAAATACCCGAGGGCATTTGGTCGCGGATACATATAGATTTTTTTTGAACCGAAGAAAAACAATTTCTTTTTGATTGTCGTTGATGCCTTTTCCAAATGGCTTGAAGTATTTCCGATTGCATCTGTTACCACTAACATGACTATTACAAAGCTGCGAGAACTTTTTTCTAGATTTGGATTGCCTAAGACTATTGCAAGTGATAATGGTCCCCAGTTAGTGTCAGAAGAATTTAAACAATTTGCAAATGTTAATGGTATTAAACTAATAACTATTCCGCCTTATGAACCTCATTGTAATGGTGCAGCTGAGAATAGCGTAAAAACTGTTAAACATTTTTGAAAAAGGTTAGTGATTCAAAAGAACTGTAATTTACTATTAGCTCAATCCTTAAGACATATAGGAATACTGTTCACTGTTCTACTGGTTATCTCCTGCTAAAGTATTTTAGGTCGTTCGTCGAGAACTCGATTTGACATGCTTAGACCAAGCTCAGTCCAAGACAATGAAAAAGTTGAACTTGAAAATGTTTACCAAAAACATACAACGTTCTCAACGAAGAAACGCAAAATACTTCAGAGGAAATAGGAAAGTATGTTTTAATATTGACCAAATTGTGTTGGTTAAAGATTATCGCGGATAAACAAGTAACTTGATGTAAAGGACAAGTTGTTAAAATTTTAGGGAAAAACGTTTACGTTGTTCGACCACTAGATTCAAATTTCCTTTGGAAAAGAGATACTAATCAGATCAGAGAACTAAATGATGATTATTCGTTGGTCTACCCACCCTGCGTGGAGCTACTGCACACTGTAAACGTTTTTCCAATAGTGATGGCACCAGCAATACTTCTGCCGGTAGTTCGGTCGATGATGTGTTTGTGGATGCCGGAATCGCGGATAGTGAACGCGTGGATGTCAGTGACTCGGATTCTAGCTCCATTGGTGAACAGGCTGAACTTACACGACCCATACATATCCGTAAGGTACCTGATAGGCTCCAATACTAACCATTCATTAATTGTTTCTTTTTTTTATTGTTACCCATCTGATCACTGTTAACAATTTTCGGGGGAGATGAATGTAGTATATTAAGTACGCCCCTGGTTCCCCGAAAATTGCGCATGTACGATGAGTACTCTCAGCGGGATACGTTTAACACACAGTATGTCGGGGTTCCGGATTGTAACAGTTATCGGTGATATATAATAAACCATTAGTATACTTCCGGGTATTATTGATACCAACTAAGACATTACATGATGTTTCTGTGAATTCCGCTATATTAAGCTAACAAAAAAATACCTGACCTTTGAATTCGAAGATAATCTGAACCTTTTTTGTTTGACAATTTTGCTGTACCTCTAAAAATAGTGTTGGGGGTATTCAAAGGTCTCGGTTGAAAAACTTCGGAACGGCTGGGCCGATTTGAATAAACTTAGGCTAGTTGAAAGGAGCTATTCTGGAGCTACAAATAATAATATTTGAAGGTTTGTTAGTTTTACATGTAGCCGCTAGAGGGTTTTTTCGACATTCCGACAGAATCGGTAAATTTTCTCAAAAAATTAGATGCATTGTATGATTTTTTTATGAAATAGCATGATGTCTAAACAACTTCGCGAAAACGACACCTCGATATCTTGTTTCTAACCTAAAATTTAGGCCAAAGAAATTTTTGTACGCATATCCCTTAAATTTTATGTTTTCAAACTAATTTTTCTGGAATTTCTCTTTATTATTAGGCTGTGGCCCTAAAAAAGACCGATTTAAAAAATAAAAGATTTTAATGCACCCGTACATGCTCGAAATGCTGACCATCACGCCCTGTGCATTCTTGAAGCTTCTCATGCGTAGACAAATGAGAAGCGGTTTCCGGTTTTTCATATCTTCTCTGATTGTAGATTGAAATACAATGTCCTTCAACCGTCCGCATAAATAAAACTCAAAACAAGTTAAGTTGGTGGTTGCGAACGCCATGGAAACAGACTTCTTCTTCCAATCCACCGCCGCTGAAATACTGCATTAATATGCTCTCCCACAATAACAGCAAAATGTGCTGGGCAACTATCTAACTGCAAAAACATGTTTGCCATGTTTTCAGTGGCACATCTTCCAACAACAACGGTAATTGGTTGCTCAGTCAAGATCGACGTTGCCATTTAGGAATTGCTCGGAAAAAATATGGCCCAATAACTCTGCCTCTCAGTATGCCACACAACACATCTGAACAACCTTGGTGTTGAACTTCACGTAACCAATGCGGATTTTCTGCAGACCAATCATGAATATTGTGCAGATTGACACTCCTGTCGCTATTAAAGGTGGCTTCATCGGTCCACCGGATTTGAAATAAATATTCGTTTCTCTCTCTTTCTCTTCCAAGGCCTGATGAAAAACGACATGATATGGGTGCATTCTAAAAGTAGTTAATAAAGTTAAATAGAAATAAATCCCTATATTTTGATGGCCATTATAACTTACCTATGGTCCTTCAAAATATTTTGTTGTACCGTTGTTCGTGATATGCCCAATTCAACTCTTTACCGTTGAAATGTATGCCGAAAACTACCATTGGTTCGTGAGCTCGCCACCAATAGGGAAAAAACTCTCACATCACAAAGACGCCGATTTTGATATCGTGTCGCGAATTCGAGAAAAATTATTTTAAAAATATTATCCGTATAAAATCTTCGGCCAAAATTTTAGGTTAGGAACAAGATATAGAGATGCGGTTTTTAAGAGCTTGTTTATAC